CAAATTGGCAAATAAGTCAAACTCTCTCTTTTTGCAGACGACATGATAGTTTATGTGGAAAACCCAAAAGACTCCACCTCCAAATTACTAGAACTCATACAGCAATTCAGTAATGTGGCAGGATACAAAATCAATTGCACAGAAATCAGTTGCTTTCTTATACACTAACAACGCAACTGTAGAAAGAGAAATTAGAGAAATAATTCCATTTACAATAGCACCAAAAACCATAAGATACCTCGGAATAAACCTAACCAAAGAGGTAAAGGATCTATACTCTAGGAACTACAGAACACTCATGAAAGAAATTGAAGAAGACACAAAAAGATGGAAAAATATTCCATGCTCATGCATCAGAAGAATAAACATAATTAAAATGTCTACGGTACCCAGAGCAATCTATACTTTCAATGCCATCCCGATCAAAATTCCAATGACATTTTTCAAAGTGCTGGAAGAAACAATCCTAAAATTTGTATGGAATCAGAAAAGACCCCGAATCGCCAAGGAAATGTTGAAAAAGAAAAACAAAGCTGGGGGCATCACGTTCCCCGATTTCAAGCTATATTACAAAGCAGTGATCACCACAGCATGGTACTGGCACACAAACAGACATATAGACCAATGGAACAGAATAGAGAACCCAGATATGGACCCTCAACTCTATGGTCAAATAATCTTTGACAAAGGAGGAAAAAACATACAATGGAAAAAAGACAGTCTCTTCAATAAATGGTGCTGGAAAATTGGACAGCCACATGCAGAAGAATGAAACTCGACCATTCTCTAACACTATACACAAAGATAAACTCAAAATGGATGAAATACCTCAATGTGAGACAGGAATCCATCAAAATCCTAGAGGAGAACATAGGCAGTAACCTCTTTGACATCGGCCACAGCAACTTCTTTCAAGATACATCTCCAAAAGCTAGTGAAACAAAAGTAAAAATGAACTTTTGGGACTTCATCAAGATAAAAAGCTTCTGCACAGCAAAGGAAAGAGTCAACAAAACAAAGAAGCAACCCACAGAATGGGAGAAGATTTTTGCAAATCACAGTACAGATAAATGGCTGGTATCCAAGATCTATAACATACCTAAGAATATAATGATTGGTCAGAACATAAGGGTATGTTTAGACGCAGTGAATACTGCTAATTTTTCCAAAATTTTTATACTACAATTATTTTTATCAGTGTTATATGAATATGTCAATTATTCACACTCTAATCATGGTGGTTTCTTTCTTTCTCAGATTAGCCATTTCAGTGGCTATGTGGAGGTAATACATTGTGATTTCAATTTTCACTTCTCTTACAACTAAGGCACTTGAGTATTTTATGATAATTTATTGGAAATTTGAAAATACCCTTCCATGAACTTGCCTGTTCAAGTTGTTTGGACATTTTTCTGCTTCTTTGTTTCTTGTTTTCTTATTGATCT